CGCGGTATCTCGCGAACGCTTAATCCCTCGCGCTTCTCTATACGATTTTTGAAATTTCTGGTTTATACTAAGTGGGTGGTGGTGGGTGGTAATATTGGAAATATATATATATAAAGAAAAAAAGTGGGTGAAAGGGAGGGGGGTGGTTAACTAAGAGCAATAGAAGAGGGTGGGTGGTATTTGCATATTCTATATCCAAAAGGGTGGAGAGTGGGTGGAATTTGCATAAACTAAAAGGGTTAGCAATGAAAGTTAAATAATAAACAATAGAAAACGTATGCAAATTAAAAGGGTTAACTAATTTACATATGCAAATCAGGTACCCCACCAACGCTCTGTAACTGTTCCATATATTTAAATATATGCAAATTAAAAGGGTTAACTAATTTAAATATATGCAAATCAGGTACCCTACCAACGCTCAGTAACTTTACCACATATTTAAATATATGCAAATGAAAAGGGTTAACTAATTTGAATATATGCAAATCAAGTACTCCACTAACGTCAATTAAAAAGGTTAACTAATTTAAATATATGCAAATTAGATACCCCACTAACGTCAATTAAAAGGGTTAACTAATTTAAATATATGCAAATTAGATACCCCACTAACGTCAATTAAAAGGGTTAACTAATTTAAATATATGCAAATCAGGTACCCCACCAACGGCCGGTAAATTACCCACATATACCCCACCAACGGTCGGTAACTTACCCTCGCGGTCGGTAAGTAGGAATCTACATTACCGATTTTATCCAGAACCGGCCTAGCTATACTACTTAAATCAAAAACTAATAATAAACGTTCAAGAAAAACTAAAAACCCGGAAGCAGACAGTTCAACAAATGAAGAAGATTTTGACGACCAAATGGAAAGAAAGAAACGAAATAAACGTTCAAGAAAAACTGAAACCCCGGAAGCAGACAGTTCAACAAATGGAGAAGATTCTGACGAGCAAATGGAAAGAAAAAAACAAAAAAAATTAATTTAAAAAAAGATAAACCACGTTAAAAAATAAGTTTAAAAAATTTAACATTAATTATATAATTTATTTAATATGCGCAATGAAGATTAATTTATAAACATTACAATTTAAAGGCAAATATTATAATTTTTAAATTAATTTGAAATATTATTAGAATATTATTTAAATCTCGCAAATTTAAGGATTAAAAATATCCTTCACTATTTGATAAGAATTTAACAATAATAAATATTTTGAATCTTATTTTAAGTCGTAATGTATATTTTTTCTTTGTTTAGTTAATGAAATTTAATTGATTGTTAAAATTTTCAAAATTCTATGTTTTTTTTAAGATTGGCTCGATTTTAGCAATTGTGAAAAATTAAACAATTTCAAGATATAAAATTTGTTCAATGCTTGATTGATGACTTTTAAACTAATGTTCAAAAACATTTTAATTTTATGTTTTTCAGTTTGTTAGAGAGATTTTAGCATTGCTCTAAAAACTTCAACATAAAAAGTTCATGGCAATGAGAAAAAATTATATATGTATATGAATTATAAATTCTACAATTTTTAATATAAACATTTTTCCAATGGTTCTCCAGATATTTTCAATGGTTAAAAATTAGAAAAAATTTTAATATTAATAATTTCCCAATAGTTGAGAAGTTTTTGCCAATCTTAGGTTTGAAGAAATCTTTAGCTTGGACCAGGGGAAAGGGACATGAGCAATAGTTGCTCATATTTTGACAATTGTTGAAAACTGTGGGTAAAATCGTTTTCACTTTTGTTTAATACTTTACCCAACCCGCGTAAAAATGACATAAGGCTGGCGACACCCTAGGAAAAGGTTTCAAGAAGCAAGTGCCAACGTTGGCACAAGACTGGGACAAGAAAAGCGCCACCCTTGCTTATGAAAGTTTCCCAGGCCATGGTAAAGGCTTACATTTACCGTGGCTAAAGAAATTTGAATTTTCTTTAAATTTTATAAAATTGCCAACCATGGGACAACCCCAGGATCAGATTTTTTCATTTTTTTTAATTTTTTAAAAATTTCAAACTCCAGGACAACCCTGGGATAAGATTTTGCCGTTCAGAAGGTCGCCAAAAGCGGTTGCTGAAAAACTTTGAATTTTTTTTCAATTTTTTTTACATTTTCCAACCCTGGGATAACCCAGGGAAAACTCTGGGATAAGATTTTGCAGTTCAGAACGTCGCTAAAACCGCGGCTGAAGAACTTTGAATTTTTTTTCAATTTTTTTACATTTGTCAGCCCTTGGACAACCCTGGGACAAGATTTGGCTGTCCTTAAGATAGCTAAAACCGCGGCGGAAGAACTTTGAAATTTTCTTCAATTTTTTTTCTGTTTAAAACCCTGGGACAACCCTGGGATCAGATTTTGCAGTTCCTAAGTTGGCTAAAACGTGTCTAAAGAACGTTGACATATTTTTTCAATTGTTCTACATTTGTCGACCCCTGGACAACCTTGGGACAAGATTTTGCCATTCCTAAAGTCTTTTAAACCGTTGCTGAAGAACTATAAATTTCTTTTCAATTTTTTTACATTTTCCAACCCCGGCACAACTCTGAGACAAGATTTTGCAGTTTCTAAGTTTGCTAAAACGTGTCTGAAGAACTTTGAAATTTTCTTCAATTTTTTTTCTGTTTAAAACCCTGGGACAACCCTGGGATCAGATTTCGCTATTACTAAAGTCACCAAAAAACGGTGTCTGCAGAACTTTTAATTTATTTTCAATTTTTTTTATATTTGCCAACTCTGGGGTAACCCTGGGACAAGATTTTGCAGTTCCTAAGATTGCTAAAACCGTGGCTCATAAGAACGTTGACATATTTTTTCAATTGTTCTACATTTGTCAACCCCTGGACAACCTTGGGACAAAATTTTGCCATTCCCAAAGTCTCTAAAACCGTAGCTAAAGAACTTTGAATTTTTTTTCAATTTTTTTACATTTGTCAACCCCAGGACAACCCTAGGACAAGATGTGGCTGTCCTTAAGATGGCTAAAACCGTGGCTAAAGAACTTTGAATTTTTTTCAATTTTTTTTACATTTGTCAACCCCAGGACAACCCTAGGACAAAATTTTGCTATTCCTAAAGTCTCTAAAACCGTGGCTTAAGAACTTTGAATTTTTTTTACATTTGACAACCACGAGGCAACCCTAGGACAAGATTTTGCCATTCCAAAAGTCTCTAAAACCGTAGCTGAAGAACTTTAAATTTCTTTTCAATTTTTTTACATATTCCAACCCCGGAACGACCCTGGGACAAGATTTTGCAGTTCCTAAGGTCGCCAAAAATGGTGGTTGAAGAACTTTGAATTTCTGTTTAATTTTTTTCACTTTCCAATCCTGGGACAACCCTGGGACAAGATTTTGCAGTTTCTTAGTTCGCTAAAACCGCGGCTGACGAACTTTGAATTTTTTTGCAATTTTTTTCATTTTCCAACCCCGGCACAACCCTGGGACAAGATTTTGCCATTCCTAAAGTCTCTAAAACCGTGGTTGACGAACTTTTAATTTCTTTTCAATTTTTTTTACATTTGCTAACTCCGGGACAACCCTGGAACAAGATTTTGCCATTCCTAAAGTCTCTAAAACCGTGGTTGACGAACTTTAAATTTCTTTTCAATTTTTTTTACATTTGACAACTCCGGGACAACCCTGGAATAAGATTTTTCCATTCCTAAAGTCTCCAAAAACCGCAGCTGAAGAACTTTGAATTTCTTTTCAATTTTTTTACATTTTCCAACCCTGGGACAACCCTAGGACAAGATTTTTCCATTCCTAAAGTCTCTAAAGCCGTGGCTGAAGAACTTTTAATTTTTTTCTAATTCTTATGCACTACATTATAATTTGTTACCTTTCTTTAGATTCTGAAAACCGCATTACATGATCCTTTTTTCTACCTGTAACATCTTTTTTCTTGGAGTATAATAAATACATATTTTAAATGGATGTAAAACAATAATTATATATTGCTAATTTGTGAACAAGTAATTTAATTTATTTAAGAACATTTACAATTTGAATTAATACATTTAATTAATTATCATTTTTATACATAACGAAATTGTGATATATCAATTAGATAGATGAAGGTTGAAATGAAGTTTGTGACTGATCTTCTGTATACTTTTTGCACATATTGAGCTACCGGTATTGTTAAACAGTTTTTCACATTATCCTCCTCGTAGATAATAAGGTGTTCAATTTTTTTACTAATAAAATAAATTTCCTGAATTAAATTTTGCCCTTTTTAAGAGGGCTACTTGTATTATATCATTTACCTTATTCATAAAAATTATGCACTAAGTGTGTAAATAATTACTTCGAACACAGCACCGAATATTTCCTGAAAGTTGAAATTAGCTTGACTACAATATTCGGAATCTTCAGTTACGAGGATCTATAAAGTTGAGGTAATTCTTTAAATGTCCGGTGTTATTCAATGTTTGACGTAAACTTTTTTTGAAGATTGCATGAAAGTTTAAAATTTTTCCAACTTCAGTTAACTTTCGGCTCAAACATTGAAAAACGGTCGAAATTAAAAGAATTATTATTTCAACTTTAAAGTGTCTCGTAACTGAAGATTCCGAACATTGCAGTCAAGGTACTTTGAACTTTTAGGAAAGTTTTCATTCTATGTGGGTTTGTTGAACAGTTTATTTAATTAAAAGTACTTACTTTTTCATTTTTCGTAATACTAATATACGTCTTTGAAAATGATGTGATGTAATAATAATAATATTGTTAATTGTTTTATTCATTTTTTACCAAACTTATTTTTATTCATATATAGCTTTCTTGTTATTTACACAGTAGTTTTTAATAAATGATAATTATGATTGGAATTTTTTACCTGACCCAGACAAAATCGTGTCGATTACTAACAATATTTTTGAGAATTTTTTAACTTACATAGACAAAATCGTGTCGAATATTATCAATATTAGTTGTAATTAATTTTAAGCAAAATTTTCAATTCAGAATTGTGGTGAATATATTTATTCAGCATTGATTCAGACAAAAGTGTGTCTAATTTATTTATCTATATTGCAAAATTATCTCAGACAAAACCTTAAAGGCTCACTCAACCAAAATCGTGGCGAGTATATATCTGCCTTTTCACCAAAGATGAATATATTTTGATCAGCCAAAATTATGGCGATAATTATTATAAGTGCATATAAACATTTTCTCTTTTTATTCGTTTTTAATAACATTTACTGGTTGTGAAACAAAAGTTGATATCGTGTTTCCTTTCATAACATTTACAAAGAAGCACACGTTTTGTAAATTCTCTACACTTACAATGTCCATTTGATTTGGAATTTCATCGACTCGATGAATGAAATTTAAACTTATTTCCGAAAGAAGTGTTGTAGGGAAAGCGAGTTCTTTTCAATATCTTCTGATGACGGCATAATAAGTTGATGGACAATCACAACAATTTCGACATTCACAAATTGATACCTTTAAAAACAGTCGAATAATTCCAAATCTTATGCCATTATTCGTAGCGTATTGAGCACATTTGGAGTTAGTAACTTTGGCTTGAGTGTATATTTCAGACGTATATATCATGTTGTTCTTCATTAACTTTTTGAAGACTGTGTACTTTGCACCCTGAACTCTATGATCCAAAAATATTTGGTGAACATCATTTGGAATTCGTGTTCTTGAAAATCCTCCAACAACATATATATTATCTTGTATAAGTTGTAGCTTCAATTTTTTAGAGCAACAAATGTACTTTTTACAAAAAGCATGCACTTTAGACCCTTCAGCAAGTTCGTCTTGGTTTAGTGTGTATGTGTTCACATACAAAGACGCACCAAAATATATTTGAAGTTGTGCCCCTTTACTTCCATGTACTTAATTTTTCAATTTTCCATTAATATCTTCATATGTGAAACAAGAATACACATATAAAGGGCCAATGTCACGAACATCTTGAACAAAATGTCGCATTGAATGTAAGTTGTTCGTCATGTTGCGAGCATGATAAAGAAATGCAAATCTAGCACTGAATTCAATTATCATTCGATCTGCATTGTTTAACATATCTTCTGATATGCTTCGTTGACTAAGGAGATAAATAGCAGCAACTAATAATTTGAAATGCTCAAAATATGCTGGCATTAAAATACCTTCCAAAACGACAAGAGAGACATGAAAAAAGAAAACTTTAAGCTCCGATGCTTTCCAGTACTTCAAATGCTCCTTTATAGAACGAAGTCGTCTTTGAACAAATTGTGGAACTTTAATTTTTTTGATAAGCTTATCAACGTCGTCAACTTTGTCGTAAATTGAGAAACGCTCGCCTGCGTGAGAAGGATAAAACCAGAGCATTAAAAGTGATTTGAACACACCAAGAAACACGCAATGCATTGGATCTATTGTTGTCGTTCTAATCCATTTGTAAACTAAGTTAGTCAAAATAGTTGGGCCTTTAACTCCACAAACTGGGTTTTTAGAAGTCGCTCTTCTTGCTTGTCGTATTGTCTCTTCTTCAGTTCTAAGCTCAAGATTTACTTGATGTGGGTAAGTCTGAACACCACCTTCTCTTTTGCCTTTTATTTTGCATTTCTGACAACCATTTTCTCCATTGTATTGTTTCATATGCATGAACAATGCTTTTGCTGGGAGATCACATGTTCCTGCAATAATCATACCCTTTATAGTAATCGTTCCATCTTCTACATCAGGTGTATTTACGTCAATGCCAGTCATAAGTTGTGAAATATCTGGGTATATAGGTAACAGAAATTGGTTAGGTGAAGGTTTATTTTTTCCAAACCACATTCCTGCTAGAATCAGATTTTCTTTCCTAAATCTTAGATCATATGGAAGTTCATTTATTACCAAATAAAATGGCCAAAAGGAAAATTTAGACGACTTGAATACCTTAACACCATCGGTATACCAAGAAAACGAAATGTTATTTGGATCAGATAAAAATTGTTTATCTGCCGATAATTCTTTATATATTCTTCCGTCATAGATATCTTCAATATTTTCATTGTTCAATTTAACTCTGTTAAATCGATGCTGCAATTTTTTTTGGAAACCGTGTCGCTTGTAAAAAGCTTTAATTTGATCAATGACAGAAATTGTTAAGAAATAAGTACTTTTAGATTCCGTCAAACAATTTGGACATTTTGACATTTCTGTTTGGTGATTTTGTAAACAAGAGGAGCAGTAAAAGTGTCGTGTTAGAGGACTTTGTAGTTTCTCAAAGTACTTTTTAAATTGGTACAAGGTTTTTCTACAATAATTTGGTTCAGGGTTCAGTCATCGTCGTCGTCGTCGTCGTCGTCGTCGTCGTCATTACAATTAATATCTATGCTACTTTCAGCCGCAGAAAATGTGTCATCATCAGCATCAAAATATTCTGTTACAAAAAGTGTTATGAATAACACATATTGAAAAACAACACAATAGTTATTTATGATATAATTGTGTAAACTGTGTGATCAAAAAAGTGTGACATTTTCAGCACGAGCCGAAGGTAAGTGATGTAAATTACACGAGTAGAATCAGCTATAAGCGAGTGTTATACAATTATAAAGTGATAATAATGAGACATAACTTGTTGCGGTGAGAACTAAAAGTACTTAAAAAAATCCGTGAAATAATTGTTATTCTTATAGTTTAATATCTAAAATAATTAAATTTCATATTAAATTTGTAAATTTTATAGAAAACATACGTTACACTGTTTAAATTTAACATTAATATTATTTCTGCGTTTCCTCACAAGGAACGCCACTTCCGCCGAACTTTAAATTTCAATCATCATGTTCCCTAAAATGGGAACAGATTTCCTCTAGTGTGTAAGAATTGTACCAGTACTGCTGCAGTAATGGTTGTCTAGTTTTGCATGCTAATCTTAAAGTGTAGTACTTGTGTAATACAGATATTTTATTAAGGGGAGGTTTTCGTCAAAATTTATGGAAAAATGAAAATTTTTTAAAATTATTATTCTTATTTTATTAAGAATACTCAGAAGAAAGGATATTTTGATAAAAAATGTAATTCTCTAGAAACACTATATCTGGTAGAGCAGCCTAAATGCACTCCAAGCTAACCATTATTATATTATTAATCAATGTGACAGAAAAATACCGAATACATGAAAAACTTTACCGGAAAGAGTACATCAGGTTCAAAAGAACATTTTCATTAAATAAAAAAAATAATCCTGTAGTGCATGAAAGAGATGACTAGTCGTAAAAAATAAACAATATAAAAATTTTAATGCGATTTTTAAATTAATAATATACGCGCATGTCTGTTTCCACTTTATTAATTGGGACAGGCTAGTCTTGATCAATCAAGGGGGCAATTGCGAATCGGGTGTGCAAACGACAACAAAGTTGACTTATATTGCATTTCTCAAAATATATTTATATTGTTAATGTATTTAATGTTTCTTTATTTGGCCGTCCTCTACATTGTCATAAATATTATTTGTTAACGTTAAAACATAAAAAGAGCATGCAATAATAATAATTTTAACAATTGCCTTATTTTGTTATAAAAAGTTTTTTAAGAAAACGGAAAACGTCAGAGGGAGCTGAAGCGGACATTTTGAAATATTTTTTAATGAAAAAATTTAATAAATTAAGTTCTTTGAGTTACATATAAAACCTACCAAAATTTTTTTATAGAATTCCTTATTTTGTATTGAAAAAAATTATTAAAATTTAGGCAATTTTGAACCTAATTACAACGAGAACCTTCCCTGAAAGACAACAATAGGAACAAATACGGGCGAGCTAACTGCTGGTACAATTATCTGCCCTTTGTGAATACCGACATGTGACAGAAATTTTTATTTAAGGAATATTAATCATAAATATTAATTTCTTTACAATAAAAAAACTTTGCTTTGTTAAAAAAATTCAAATTTTCTTTCTAAATATTTTAAAAAGCACACAAAATTTACTACCTAACTAAAAATTAATAACTGGTACAAGATTGTAATTAACTTAATTTAGTGATTCATTTTTTTAAATGCTAGTCCAGTATTGGTTTGACAATATTTTCTTTAGAATCACAGTAAAACATGATATTGTTACTGTGACAGAATTGTTTTTACTCCATTAATCGATGTTAACGTTTATGTGAAGTTATTTGAACAATTTATATTCGATACGATTGTATTTGTTGTTCTTATTTTAACCCTTAGTGGTAGAACATCCAAGGGAATTTCGAAAAAAGAAGGCCAAGTAATGACACATTAATGGTACTTTAACCCTCTATCCGTCGCAGGTGAGCAATCTTCTCATCTTTATAAATTAGTCCAAAATTGATATCAAATGCCAAATTTTTTTGGAATGTTCATTAGAATTTCTAAACAATCTATTGGCAGTAAAATCAGTTAGTCGCACGGTGAGAAGTTTCCTCACTTTGCGTCAAAAATTCTCGAGATTTTCTGCTTTTAAATTCATTAAAAAAAATTTTAAACAATACAAAAATTGTTTTAATATATCAAGAAGAAGAGTGCTGTGAATGGTAGGGGAGAGTGGGGCAAAATAGGGTACCTCTCTTTTTCCATGAAGGGTAGATGAGACGACTAAAAACCCGCTCACTTTTTGTCAGATCGGTAAAAATATAGGAAATTATTTTTTAAATCCAAGTTAATTTATATCATTTGAAAGCTTATGATTTCTACTAAAAAAATAAAAAAGAGTTTTTGATTTATCTTTTCTAATTTTACTTAGAGAAAATTTATAATTCACATAAAAATCACAATTTTCCAGGGTAAATCCGCTCACTTCATTTTTTCAAGACAAAACAGTTTTATTTTTTAAATATTAAAATTCGTCTTATTCCCGCCATAATCACGATTTATTATTGATAAACTTTGAGTTCTATAAACAATAAATATTGGTTTAATAAATAATAAATATTTGTTTCATGAATTACAACTATGGATTCAAATAATGTTATCCTTAATATGAAACGAGTAGATATGCAAATTAGGTAAAGAGAGACAGTCTAATGTTGCTTATCCTCGAAAGAGAAAGAAAGCAATAGCGTTAGATTTTCTGCGTTATAAATAGAGACCGATTTATGTTATTTCTATTTGGAAAGAGGAAGAAAGCAATAGCGTTAGATTTTCTGCGTTATAAACAGGGACCGATTTATGTTATTTATTTAGAAAGAAGAAGACAGAAAGATATTTGAAAGATATATATATAAAATTTAAAGAGAAACGAAAGGTCTGCTCGAGTACCTGGTCTATTGTTTGAAGGGTTTCTTTCAACCAGTAGGCAGTCTATTAAGTGACCAGAGAGAGAGAGAGGGGGGGGAGTTGGTAGTCTATTTTATACTTGAGTATACATATATACACTGTAAAACATTTAGGGAGTTAACGGACTCGGGAGTTTGGAGTGAAATTTTTCGAGTTAAAAATAAACTCCAAAAGAGAGTTAATTTCTAACTCCCTTCATTCAACACCCGCGCGAGTTATTTTTTCATTGGGGAGTTAGCATTTGGGTGTGAAGTTTTAACTCTCTTTATTTAACTCCCCTGGCATTAACTCCCCAATGGGTGCGACTTTTATAGAATCCCCTGGGGAGTTAAAATTTAACTCTCTATTTTTACAGTGTAGTTATAGTTTATTAACAGATTTTCGCATTATATAATACAGAAAAATAAAAGTGCAATGTGAAGAACACATTTTTTTTTTAAAATTAAAAGACGAAAAAAATTTTTGTGATTAAAAATAAGGATAAGGAGGTAAGTTTTTAAAAATTGTGTAAAATACTACTTTTTAGTGATATAAAATGATTTTTCTTTTTTGTAATTAAGAAATGCAAGTAATAAATTAACAACTTTCCCGTCTAAGTCACTAACATTATCTACTTTTTCAAGAATTAAACTTGTAAAGAAATTTAAATAACTTTCTAGAATCATTTTAAAAATGCTTGATCTCGTCCTTTAGTTTGCCTTGTTTTATTAAAAAATTAATATAATTTCAGAAATACTTTACATGGTTTAATATTTTTTTAATAAATCTTAAACCAGTACCCAGTTTTTTATTATAAAAAAGTTTATGTTGTCTTAAACAAAAAAAGAATATTTTTTATTTTAGTTCAAAATTAGAGTCTTGAAGGTAATAAACAGGTGCCATAATAATAAGGTGCCAGTTTTAGAATCATTATAATAATAATATTTATTTGCCAAAATATGACTATCAAATAAACACAATTTAATAGCTTCAACAAGAGCATTAAAATTGATTTCTTCTGAATCAATTGACTTTTTTCCACTTGACATGCCCAAAAATACTAGAAAAAAAAAATAAAAACAACATTTAAATAGTATGCCTGCAAAGTCGTATTTTTTATGCTGCCCAGATGGGTGTTGACACCGTCTCACAACTGGTGATATGCTGTGTCTCACACCCAGAAATTGGCGCTATTCTGAAAAAGGAAAATTAAATTATTTTCAACCGTAGATTGGAACAATGCAATATTGCATCACAAAATATAAGGAAAACACTAAAAGAAAATGCATTACATTTACCTTTTCCAATTAATTAACTTGGAAAAAAAGTACTTTGCATTTATTGAAAAAACGCTTTTTAGTCGATTATCACACACAGTGTTGGTATTTAACAAAAACAGTTTATATATATATGAAACTG